AAGATAACACTTGCGCTTAACTCAAATGTTAAGCAATCTATCGCTAATTTATTAAATAGATTTGTTGACTTATCTTTGTTCTTCATTAGAAATTTAGTATTGAAGAGATTTTCAAGAAGAACAATTTTATCAATTAAATGATGAGGGATATCAGAGGTTTTACAGTTTTTTAGATAAAAGATTTTATCGTTAGTTCGTAAAATTTAAAAAAAATTATTAATGAACTCATATGTGCATGATAGGTTTACATTACCGTTAATTGTGTTAATAATATCAATTTAAAATTTCTTATCTTTTTCTTAAATTATTTGATTCCATTCTGGGTCTTATGCAGGCCTCCCAGTTGAATTTAATTTTCTAGTCATATCATTCAGGTTTGGTGCCATTTTCTCATAAGTTGTTTTTATAAAATATTAGGCCAAAGGTAATGTATTAGGCTTAATATTAGGCCACAAATGTACAGTTTTTACATCCTGTATTATTTATTCGACGTTTCGGCTTCAGGAGCCATTTAGAAGATCTTGAAGCCGTTTCTTTTTCTGTCATTGTTAACCCCCCTTTTGTGATATCATATTAAAATTTTGAAAGGTCGATATCGATAGTAGATAATATAAAAGTAGATACTATCGATAGTAAAATATCAAATATCAGAAGGAAAATATTCATATTTCAATAATATCAAATATCGATGGCCATCCCTGCCTGGTTCTAAGGTCGGCACTAGTATGTTTTGAAATCGGAGAATAAACAAATTTTTAATAGAACGGAAGTCGGAACCGTATTTAAATTATTTGTGAGCCTGACAGGGGTTGGTTGGACTGGCTTAATGATTCTTAAGATAATTTAGGAATCATACTAGTTTTTACATTGAAATAACCTATAGATCAGTAAAAATATTTTTTGAAGTGTTGAAGAAAACATATATATAAAAGCATGAAAAATTTTAAATCGTAAATTTATTCATTTTGCATACTATTTTTTCCGTATATTTGTTTGGTGCGAATTTCATGTGTTCATCCTTAATTTGCTAGATGGGTTTCCATAACACTCGAGTGGAGATATTTCATTAAAGCTTAATTTTATTTGATGTAGTTGATTAAAACTAAATAGAATTTCTATAGAAAACAAATGGGATTTTTAAAAATTTATTTTGCAGCTTGACAAATCCCCCCCCCCTCCAAAAAAAAAGTATGTTTGCACAGAGTTATCCTACATAATCATAAGTTTATTAACTTGACCAATATACTGGTGAATATATTAACAAGAAGATAAATAAATAATATCAAATATGAGACCAACTGACATATAGTAATTATTAACTATACAGGCGTGTCTCATATGCAGAGGGAAATTTTTATAGGTGTGATAGCAGACCTCAAGAGCTACAAAAAAAGTTCATATAAACAATAGGCTAATTTTCTGCAGAAAAGTCGGAAATCCAAGATCTGTTTTTTTTTTTTTTTTAAGTAAGTCGCATTTTTTTGTCAAATATAAATCTATAACTAAAGAAATATTTAATTTAAGTTATTAATAATTGCGTCACTGCAAACTAGTTTGTAGTTAGTTTTGTCAACTTCAAATGAAAACAGAATTTGTCATTGTTAAGACCACTGGTGGATCTACGAGGGGGAGGGCTCCCGGGCTAAATGCCCCTCTTCCCTAAATGGTAAAATACATCTGTCTTACAAAAGAAAAATTATTACTAAAAGTATTACTGTTCGTGTAATTAAATTTAATGGGACTTCAAGAGTCACTTAAACACCATTTCATATAGGTAGTTATTCTCTTTCTTCTTCTTCCAAAGTAATAATTTTTATGTGCATAAAAAAAAAAGCTTTCGGGCCAAAGCTACTCCAACATTAAATTCTGGACCCGTTAGTGATTAAGACCATTTGAAGAAGAATTTTGAGCAACTAAACTAAGCTAAGCACCGTTTTAAAAATAAATAATTAATTATTCGCTATTTTTTTTTATCATCATCCAACTATAATAATACAGATACCTCACTTTTCTAAAAACTTCCTGGTTTAATAATCTTTAAGTCTATATTAATTAAGTTGAGGATTAATTAAGGAATAACTTGAGAATCACCTCAAGTTGTGTGAAAAAACTATGTGATTTTTTTTTTTATCGTGTCAATAGCAATAGCAAACATCTGGTGTGGGGCGCGAGCATCACTCAATTTTCACTTACCACCCTCTGCTCATGAGAAATAAGTATTTTCAGGCAAAGGGGAAGTGAAGGTAAAAATTATAAACGCTATATTGATTTATATTTCATTGTGGATATTTTTATTTGTTAAAAGTACGCTTATGTATACAAATTTTAATATTTATATCACTGTAATCTATACATTTAAATGTTAAATAATACCAACAATAGCATTTATGAAAATCACATATGTATATTTATATAATCTTGAATGAGTCCGTATTATAATATTAAGCTCATCATATATATGTATGGAAGCTTGTTCGAATCTTTCGCCTACAATGCAGCATTGTTACGATCTCATATTTCTCCTTTAGTTAAATATCAAATTCTTTCATATTTTATATTTAACTTTTTTTTATATTAGAGATCAATTTGAAATGGTTAATTGTTTCAATAAATAAAATTAAACGTACTTTAGGGGAAGCTAATATTGAAAATTAGCCATTTAAATGGTAAAATATAACTATGTCTTACAAAAGAAATATTATAAAATTATCTCTAAAGTATTACTGTTCGTGTAATTAAATGTAATGGGACTTCAAGAATCATTTAAACACCATTTCATATAGATAGTTTGTTTATTTATTTTTTTTCGTTATATTTATGAAAAAAAAGCTTTCGAGCTGAAGCCGCCGCATTAATTATGTTTATTTAAAAAAAATTAAAAATTATGTTTATTTACAAAAAAAATTAAATCCTAGATCCAATAGTGTCAGAAGACAAACATAAAATTACTATTTTTATTCCCTTAAATTTTTGAATTAGTTAAAACAATTCTGCAGGTCCTGCTTCCCTCCCTCATTTCCCTTTTGGCTACAGCTGCCTTTTATACGCTGGACCATCTTGGAAGTATGGACGAATCTTATGAACGGTTTTATTTGATTTAATCTTCGGGTTCCCGCGTCCTCGGTGACTACTGCGGTTAGTTACTGCAGCCCATGTATAAAGTATAAGCCTTGTTTAAATATAATGAAATACGTTCAAAAATACTTGTTTGAGGAAATTTCATGTATACGTATCTTTATTCTTATTTGTCTGTTCTGGGTGCGCTATTGTTTTGTATTACTTACCTTATGGCACAGGCGGATTTATAGGGGGGATGAGGGGACTTTCGGACTGAAGCTCTCTCTCTCCCCCCACCAACTCCCGAACTGGTAAAATATAATAACCATGTATTATTCATAAAAGATGATCTTGAGAAAGCAACTATAATAAGTATTAGTAGCAAAGGCCATTTCAGTCTCGATAAATAAATACTTTATTTAAAATTTATTCAAATGTTTGCATCTTCAGGGATAATCTGATTTTACATGTAATTTAAATTTTCATTCGCTTATAGTAGTGCACGCTCTCCAGACCTGACTCCACTGGATTTTTTGGTTTGGGGTGACATTAAACAATAAGTCTATGCAAGTCCGGTCATTGACTTTAATTCCTTACAAAGAAGGATAATTGAATCTTGTGGAACAATAACACATATCCAGTGCCGTTCTGCCGTGCCTTACAAAGGATAATTGAATCTTGTGAAACAATAACACATATCCAGTGCCGTTTTGCTTTGCTGTTGAAGAAAGATTCTGAGCCTGTCTTAATGCTCAAGGAAATCCCTTTAAACAACATTTAATATGAATGTTATTGCACCTTCAGAGAAATTTTTTTTCTTGTTTTGATTTCCTTAGTCCATTTTTGCAGTTTGACCATTTAACCCTGAAACACCCTGTATATAATAATTACTTCAGAAAAAAAATAAAATAAAATAAGCCACAATGAACATTGACTGATAGATTGATGATAGATAGTTGCCAATTGGTCGTATCAAATTGTAGTTTGTTTGTCAAATTTTAAAAATATCTTCCTCTAAAGTATCTTTAACTTGGCTTGAAATAATTAATTATCTCTAATTATTAGCAGGAAAATTTAAGTTTGTTCTAGTTTGTTTGTCAAATTTTAAAAATATCTTCCTCTAAAGTATCTTTAACTTGGCTTGAAATAATTAATTATCTCTAATTATTAGCAGGAAAAAAAAAAAAAAACTGCTGGCTCACTATTACCTGTTATATACTATATAGGAGTGTAATAGGAAAGATGAAAAATGTTTTTTTTTAGATTGAAAATAAATTTCCGGTAATGATTAGTCAGAAATGTATAATATTGTTAGAAAGCTGAGAATTTCAAGAAAAACATCGTCGTATTAAAATGGAGGTGTAAAAAAATTATAAATAATAATTTCTGAAAATTAATATTGCTTAATGGAAACCAAAAGTTTCAATGAAATGTAAATTAAATAAAATAAAATTAAATGTGAATGTAAATTAAATAAATATAAATGAAGTGAAAAATTTTAAAGTTTGAAAATAAAGTATTATTTAATACTTCATATATAATATAATAAAGGATATATTATAGTATTCACTGACTCGAAGCAATGAAATTTTTTTTAGTGGATTATTATTGGAAGCACATGGCTAAAGCTGTTATTTTCAAGTAAATTAAAATTAAAGCCAACTCTTCAATTTTCAGGAAATTAGATTTTTGTCAAATTTCTGCATAAACATGTTTATGTAGTATACATAATTAAATGGCTTTATTGTAAATGTAATGTAAACTTAAAAGTTTACATTATAAATTTATACAGATACTTTGGTTTTTCAGGAAGCTGTGGATTCTGCTGTGATAATGATAAGTGTGCTGAAACTAAATGAAATTGGTTTTATCCCATTTATAGACAGCCAGGAAAAGTACTGCTTATAAAGAAGTAGTCAAAACTATTTCACATTTGCTGATCCATGGAGAATACATCTGAATTATCATCAGAAGCTCGATCGGCTAGTCAAGGCACTTGTCAGACTGTTGTTGCACTTTCTGTTGATAAGTTAAGTGGAAATTATCAGAAACAGAAGTTCCTACCGGATGGTAAAAATACCATCAAGGTTTATCCTCCTGCAAAACGCCGGCAGACAGCCAGGAAAAGTACTGCTAATAAACCAATTGTCAAAACAGTCAATGAATGGTGTACTTCTGAAGTAACACCATCCACCTCAAAAGGTGTTTCACAATTAGAAATTCTGACTTCACCTGGCTTATTAGAAGCTCCATCAACTAGTCAAAAAACCTCTGAAAACATTGCACTTCCTGTTGATGAGTTAAGTACCATTAATCAGAAAGAGATGATCCCACTGGACAAGTGTTTCCATGGTAAAAATACTCACAAGATTTTGCCTTCTGTAAAATGCCAGACAGCCAGGAAAAGTACTGCTAATAAACCAATTGTCAAAACAGTCAATGAATCGTGTACTTCTAAAGTAACTCCATCCACCTCAAAAGGTGTTTCAAAATTACAGTATACACCTGAATTATCAATAGAAGGTCCTTCAACTAGTCAACTAGTCAATTCAGAAAACAATCTTTCACTTCTTGCACCAGATAATATGATTAAAATCAATCAAAAAGTAAACTTACTGCTCGACCAGTCTTTCCACGGTAAATCAGAAATAGAAGTGAATCGTCGGGTACTTGAAGAAATTTTATCTGATACAGTAGGAAAGTTTTACTCTCAGGAGGACAAATTCAAGACCATGACAGAGGCAACAAATCTTACAGAAAAGTATATAAGTCTTCGAACTGAACATAGAAAATTGAACCAACTACGATCTATGTTGGAAAAACAGGTTGGAGCTTCAAAAGAAGTAATTGCTCAAATGATCATTGATAAGCAGCACTCCAAACTCGGCCTTAGAAAGAATATTCTCCCATCTAAGATAAAGCAAGTCCGATCAGTAGGCTTGCAAGTATGCTTAGAAGGGCCTTTGTTTATCATTAATGAACCAATGATAGCATGGAGTACTTCTATTACTAGTCAGTATACTGAGAGTATCTTGACCCCTGAAAAACAACCTGCAATCAAGAAAAACTCTGCTAATCAAGAGGACATAGCTATGGACATAGACGATATTAACATAGTTATGGAATCATCTAACTCAACATCAAGTCAATCTAAAAGTACTCAGTTTACTGGAAATGTTATGGCTCCAGTAAAACGTACAACCAGGAAAAGCTCTACTAATGAGTTTGATTTTGTGTCTTCTTCGATACTGTGTCAACCTAGTACCAGTCAATACACTAAAAAAGTTTTGTCTCCTGCAAAACGCCAGGTAGTTAAGAAAAGTACTACTAAAAATGTTTTGCCTCCTGCAAAACGCCGGACAGCAAAGAATAGTACTACTAAAAAAGTTTTAGGTGTAAACAAATCTAACATAGTGACAAGAAGTATGTCAAAAGAATCTGCTGGTATTGCAGTACCCACAGCAACCTGGGAAACTAAAGATGATCCCACAAGAGTTACAAGGAGTATGTCTAAAGAATCTGGCAGTATTAGAGTATCCACAACAACCTTGGAAACTGAAGATGTTTCAAAATTACCAACTTTAGATATAGGCAAATCGTTACAAGCAAGCAGAGTTACAAGGAGTATATCTAAAGAATCTGCCAGTATTAGAGTACCCACAACAACCTTGGAAACTGAAGATGTTTCAAAATTACCAATACATTCTGTATTACCGATAGATAATTCATCTGAATTGTCATCAGAAGCTCCTTCAACTAGCCAAGATACCTCCCTAAAACTCATTTCACTTCCAGATCCAGACAATCTGATGAAGATTAATCAAAAGGTGAACTCGCTTCTTGACAAGTGTTTTCATGATAGTACCGAAATGGTAGTTAATAGACATAAACTTGAGGATATGTTATTAAATACCTTAGGAGATTTTTTCTCCCAGGAGGATAAGTTTAAGAACATGACAGAGGCAAAAAAATTAAGAGAGAAGTGTAAAATGCTAGAAACGGAGAAAGATCAGTTGAACCTACAACGATTCGCCATAGCAGAACAGGTTGAAGAATCCAAGAAATTGAACAAAGAAATGGCTAGTACTTGTAAAAGTAAGACTAACAAAGAAGTTGTTAAAAAGGTTCAGGCATCTTCTTCAAAAGTAAGCCAATCAACTAGTTTCAATGCATCCTATATAAAAGATGTAGGAAAAGTTGATAATAATAAAGGTTTTGAGAATTTCAACCCTGGTGTAATTAAAAATATTAAATATGAAAATGTTATTAATCAGAAGTATGCAATGGCTGAGGGTGTTAATGCTATTGAAATTTCAGATGATGAAGATATAGAAGGAGGACCAACAGTTCTTAAAAATATTAAATATGAAGATGTTATTAATCAGAAGTATGCAATGGCTGAGGGTGTTAATGTTATTGAAATTTCAGATGATGAAGATATTGAAGGAGGACCAACAGTTATTAAATATGAAGATGTTATTAATCAGAAGTATGCAATGGCTGAGGCTGTTAATGTTATTGAAATTTCAGATGATGAAGATATAGAAGGAGGACCAACAGTTATTAAATATGAAGATTTTATTAATCAGAAGTATGCAATGGCTGAGGCTGTTAATGTTATTGAAATTTCAGATGATGAAGATATAGAAGGAGGACCAACAGTTATTAAATATGAAGATTTTATTAATCAGAAGTATGCAATGGCTGAGGCTGTTAATGTTATTGAAATTTCAGATGATGAAGATATAGAAGGAGGACCAATAGTTATTAAATATGAAGATGTTATTAATCAGAAGTATGCAATGGCTGAGGCTGTTAATGTTATTGAAATTTCAGATGATGAAGATATAGAAGGAGGACCAACAGTTTTTAAATATGAAGATTTTATTAATCAGAAGTATGCAATGGCTGAGGCTGTTAATGTTATTGAAATTTCAGATGATGAAGATATAGAAGGAGGAACAACAGTTTTTAAATATGAAGATTTTATTAATCAGAAGTATGCAATGGCTGAGGCTGTTAATGTTATTGAAATTTCAGATGATGAAGATTTAGAAGGACCAACAGTGATAATGAAGAGACCATCAACTCCTCTGGAACTGCCACTGGTGAAAATAACATCAGTTTGCCATCTTCTTCCTGAATTCCCATTCACCCCTCAATATCTTCCTGATGTTTCTAAGCCTTCTGCACCGATATTACAGGTTAAAAAACGTAGTATGTTAGAAAAAACTATCATGTTGGTGTGGTTTTTGGATCATGAGAAGGATAAGGATCATGGAAATATTGTTCACTATGAAATATTTTGTTTGAAAGAAGTGAGCGATAATAAACTCTCTGACAATATTTGGAAGAGAATAGGAGGGGATATAGTGGCTCAGAAACTGCCAATGGCTTGTAAAATTTCGGATCTTGTTGAGAATTCAACGTACCACTTTATCATACGTGCAGTTGATGATCAGAATATAGTTGGTGATTTTAGTGTTCCTGCATCCATAAAGCTGCAAAAGTTAGATTCTTAACTAAATATCACTTTGGAACTGCATAGCAAGTTCTATCCGCTACGAATAAGTTCCAATTTTGTATTGTTTTAATATTAGAAATTCAGTTGTAATTTCAAGTTACATGTGATCTATTTTAGAAAACTTCCGTTTGCTGTTATTGAAGTTACCAATCGTTAATACTCTTTATTGTAAAGTTATATTTGATAGACAAGCAGAAGTCTTGTGAAGTGAAACTGTAAACTTTATATATACTTTTTGATTTCAAATCATTTAATGTTTTAAAAATTTGTGATATTGTAATTTTAAGTTATAGTTTGATCTCTGATCTAATTTAGGAAACCTGTTTGTTTTGTATTGATGTTTTGTTTATCATTACCTTATTGTTAACATTCAATTATTATATATCATTAAATATAGATCTAATTTAGATATACTTTTTGATTTCAAATCATTTAATGTTTTAAAAATTTGTGATACTGTTTTGTAATTTTAAGTTATAGTTTGATCTCTGATCTAATTTAGGAAACCTGTTTGTTTTGTATTGATGTTTTTTTATCATTAGCTTATTGTTAACATTCAATTATTATATATCATTAAATATAGATCTAATTTAGATATACTTTTCGATTTCAAATCATTTAATTTTTTAAAAATTTGTGATATTGTTTTGTAATTTTAAGTTAAAGTTTGATCTCTGATCTAATTTAGGAAACCTGTTTGTTTTGTATTGATGTTTTGTTTATCATTAGCTTATTGTTAACATTCAATTATTATATATCATTAAATATAGATCTAATTTAGATAAACTTTTCGATTTCAAATCATTAAATGTTTTAAAAATTTGTGATATTGTTTTGTAATGTTAAGTTAGAGTTTGATCTCTGATCTATTTTAGGAAACTTGTTTGTTTTGTAATGATGTTTTGTTTAACATTACCTTATTGTTAACATTCAGTTATTATTATCATTATATATAGATCAAATTTTGAATTTTGAATTTCTTTTGGCATTCCTTATTTGATTCCAATCCTATATAATAACTACTGGCTTGATAATACCACAGTGTTGTGTATAATATATTATTTAAGACCGCATTTTATATTTATAACTTTATTGTGTAATTTATTTCCAATCCTTTTTACAAGTAATGACTGCCGACTGGATGAAATCACAGTATTACAGTTCCTGATTTTATTGATTCAGTATTATAGAGACCTGATCTTCGTGCTGTAAAAATCTGAAAAACGTGCAGCAAAAAACTCAAATATGCGAAATTGTGCAGCAAAAACCCAAAAGATGTAAAATTGTCTAATTTACACATAAAATGTAAAAAATCATCTGTATCATCTATTTTGTTTAATTTATAATGTTAATACATCGAAAATCTATCAAACCTTAAGCTTCTAAATTAAAATATTGTGTACCAGAAAAAAAATCTGGTGCGGTACGCACATCACACAACTTTCACTTTCACCCTCTTCTTGGCAGAAATAAGTATTTTCTAAAGTTATATATATTTAATTGTGGGTATTTTTATAAGTACTCTTATATATACCTAGGTACAAATTTTAATATTTATATCGCTGTAATCTATACAATTAAATATTAAATAAAACCAATAATAGCATTTATGAAATACGTTCTTCTTCTTTGTCTTCCTCCTTAGTGCTTTTCAGCGTGGAGGAGCCTTCGACCCATCTATGCCAGTCATCACGGTCCCTCGCCAGATTCCTCACATAACCCAACTGCTCGCCTCTTCTCTGTACCAGCTCGGTTATATCGTCAATCGAAGTTTTCCGTGGACGCCCTCTTGGCCTCTTTTCTATGAGTCTTGCCTCAAGAAATTTTGGGTTCCCTCTCACTCTGTACAGTAGGATTGGAAGGTAGAGTGTGTTGTATATATGGATCTTAGTTATATTAATACTTTTTTCATTTATTTATTCTGGGACGAGTCCCTTTCTCAGAGATACATAAATAAAAATTGAAGTAAAGTAATTGAATAGTCTTAGTGAAAAAAAAAATATATAAAGCTACTTTCTAATTTTGATCAATTATTAATAAAAATAATGAAGAACGAACTAATAATTTATATACATATGTACAGTAGTACCTATTTACAATTTTATGGGGACTGGATGGATAAGAAATGATTGAACAGGCGGGATTTAAAGTTAGGAAGGGTATTGGATTGACGGATGTGGCAAGGGATGGGATCGGATAATGAACGATTTGTCGGAAGCATCGGTTCGGTGGGCCCTTATGTATAAATCAGAAGACCGGGAACAAGTATTGCGGGAACGAACAGAGGATTTGAATTGAATGAGCTCGAAGATGTATGAGGGACGGTGGGATTGGATGACTTGAAAGAGGAAGGATGCCAGGAAATACGGCGGTAGGAAGGATAAAGCCAATTTAACTCCGCATAAAAATGGGAAACAGAGGCGTCCCTTGGGATTCCGAAGATGAATCATACAAAGCAATTTATCAAATGTTTTAGTTCCGTCTCGAGATCTCCAGAGACTCCTCCATATACTGTACAGCAATAGTCAGAGTGGGGAAAAATTAAGGAAGTGACAAGGAGCCTACGGGTTTCAAAAGGAAATAGGTGACGGGAATAATCTAGACGTTTTAGGGTGGAAATGGCACGACGGGAAATATTGGATATATGGTTTTTCCATGAAAGCGTTTGATCAATGGTTATTCCAAGATTTTTGATTATTGGTAAAATTTGATGGGATTATTGTGTAGGAGTTGAAATATTAGTAACAGTTTTAAGGAGGCGATTGGAGCCTGTTAAGATTGCCTTTGTCTTTTCCGTATTCAACTTCAACTTGTTTGCTCTTGCCCAGTCACAAATCCTATCCAAGTCTTCTTGAAGTTTTTCTAAGGCTGATAATAGGTCGGAGGTCGGAAAGGACAAGTATATTTGGAACCATCTACATAGGTATGGTATTGGGAGTGATGGATGAGGAGGGGACGTCTTTTAATTGAGAAAAAGAGCGTTCAACATGAACTGATGTAAGAGGACTCATTTTGTAACAAGCAGCCACTGCTGGTTCTTTGTCAACATTAACGTTTATACCATTAATGCAGTCGTTATTATTTTTTTTATAAGAGCGTAACTGTTTTTTTTTTCTATTACGGAGTAATTTTTGATTCGTTTATTAAGTAATGAATTTCGAGATTCAAACTGAGTTAATGTTTGCGGAAAATTTGTTAAATGTGATTTTATGAATGTCTAATCGCTTATTACACCGGTAATATCAGCATCAGCCGAATTCATGATTTACTTCAAAGCCGGAAAGGACACTGAAGGACTTACGAAAGACTAAGAATTCAAGTGAAAACAAGGAAGGCAGTTTTTTTGAGTTACTTCAGTCAAGTTCACTGCACTTGCGTTTACTATAAATTCAAATCTTTGTCAGTACTATCACAGAATAATTTACCTCCATTAACATAATAAAATAAAAAAGTAAATATTCACACACATACATATATACTTATAAATCATTCAATCTAGCACCAAATGTACAATTTAATGTAACAAAAATCAAAATCGTGCAATTTAAGCCAAAAACGTTCAAAAGTAAATTTAAATATGTTATTCTACAGATCCTATAATGGATAGATATTAGGTTCCAGGGTTTTTAAATGCAAGAGTCGTGTGTGAAGTGAGTTGTGTACTGTGAGGGTAATAAGATTACAGAATAACAGTAACAATATGATAGTAATAAAATAAAATAAGTAGGATAATAGTAATAAAAGTAAAGAATAAAACCAGCAAAATGATAAATATAAAAGTATACAATAGTAAAATGATTGAAATATGATAAAAAATGATTTTTGATATAAATGAATGAAAAAGGTAAGTAAGTATTGTATATCAAGAGTAAGAATTAAAAAACGAGTAATTAGTGTATTATAATAACTAATATATTAAATACAAATAGTAATTAAAAAGATTTTATAAAGAAAATTTAAACATAAAGGTTGATGACAGTATAAATATATATGAAAGATTTAAAACTGAACCTTATCAAATCAAGGTCCGGATTTTTATGGAATAAAAATCCACATAATATGCAGTAAAAAAACATGAAAAATATAGTAACTAATTTCTAAATATGCTAAACTTTATTTTATACTAATTACTTTATTATTAATCTGCAAGTCATGGATTTAAATATACATGTTCGTACAAAAAGTTTTAAAATAAAAAATAAATTATGGAGAGAGTTAAAAGTTAGATAATTTCAATTGTTTTTTTATGTATCTAAACTAAATAATGAAATAAATAAAGACAATAAAAATATTCTATCCAAAATAAATGTCTAATTCGTGTACTTTTCCAAGTTAATGTGTTTATCATTTATAAAATAAATTATGTTGTGTTTAAATCTTGGAGGAACGATTGTCAGACACTTTGTGAAAATATCTAAAAATGTTCCATTTAAAAAAAAAAATCCATTATTAGCCCATTATAATTATAATTGGAAATTTCAGCGATAAACTTCTGTTGTTCAGATTTAATTACTGTTTTAAAATTATAAATTATTTAGGTAATAAATTTAACATTAGTAAATTCTATTTTCACGAGCGAAAATTAGAACGCATTTCTTGCGAGTTTGAGGGGGTTCATAGTACAAACATCCATTTCGTCAATTTCATCCAAATAGTCACTAAATAAACTTTTGATAAAGCCAAACTTTTGAAAAAATATTTGTAAATTACGATTGGCAAAAACTCCTTAAGTGTATCACAATAAGATCAAAATATTACATCTCAAAAATGTCTATAGATACAAAGTATGTTATTTATTTGAAAATAGAGGGTTATTTTAAGAAATGGGTTCTCTATCTAATTACGGGCTTAATTAAAAGCAAAGCTAATTACAATCGAGCTCATCTGTATTGACATGTTGATTAATTCGTGATTTTCTTTCATTTGCAACTTGTTTTGAACAATAGTTGCAAAAAAAAAAACTTTTTCATCAGTTGTAAAAACTGTTTCATGTGTATC